CTGTTGCTACTGCTACTGCTGCTACTGCTACTGCTACTGCTACTATTACTATTGCTACTGCTATTGCTACTACTACTGCTTCTGCTGCTTCTGCTGCTGCTGCTGCTGCTGCTACGGCTACTATTACTGCTACTGTTGCTACTGTTACTGCTACTGCTGCTGCAGCTGTTGCTGGTGGTAATGGTGTTGTTGTTGTTTCTCATGGTGGTTGTGGTTGTGGTGGTGGTGGTGGTGGTGTTGGTGCTGCTGCTGCTGCTTCTACTGCACACGGGCCAGTGTAGGCCCATATTCATTCGTACTGCAGCATAGATGCGTGCGAGCACATAGCCGCCGTCTGTTTCCTGCAGTTCACTCTACGAATGTGATTACAAGATGTACATTTCGATTTATCGCGCTGGCAGGCCGATAGTTTCGGATCGTGCCAATACGTTAGGGTCGCGGCGAGTGTTAGGGTTGTGTGTGGGTTATGTTAGGCTTCACTAACAGCGCCCATCTAACTCCCGATCCGGTAATAGGTAATCGCATTTAAATGACTCACTATAATATTTCCGCAGCAAATGCCAAGGACGTGGCTGTTAATCGTGACCGCGATATGACAATATACTGCTGCACCTCGGTAGGGGGGGTCTAAACTGGTGCCGAAGCTGACGGACATGATCACGACAGTAAATGAAATGTGCAGTGAGAGCGTGAGAGCGTGCGTGGGGCATACCGCCGGCTGCGTGCACCCGTGTGATCACTGAAATCTATTCACGGTGGTAAGCGTAGCGTAGAGGCAGAGTGTTACTGTGATGCTGAGAGCGGCGGCGAGCGAAGAAACCACGGCCGCAGTGAAGCCATTTTCCACCCCGCATCACATTATTCATGAAAAAAGTGCCGTTCTGTTGCGGGACGCATCCCATTTGTTTGGTTTCCATGGAAACCCGGCGTTGCGCAGTGAAAACATGCAGCACTTTCCTCAGGGTGGACGTTTTTTTCAAAGCCGCAGGCAGACATCCGTTATCACATTCGCAGTCCGTTGCTGCTAAATTAGCAATGCTTCAAGTGAGTGATTGTTTACACAACGTCGCATGTACACACTTCTCTCGAATAATCACTTGTATTTCACTGATGTTCGGCAAGATCTCTTATTTGATTTGTGTCGAAACCTAAATCCCCCCTCCGTTGCTAAAGTTTCAGGTCGGATGGTTATTAAAGGGGGAGGGTACATGTCTCGATTTGACGTGTTGGTCGTTACGCTGTTGGTATGGGTGGCTCACGTACGCGTACTTCTCATTGCCAATTTGCCACAGTGGCTTCTTTTCACTTGCCTGCCGCAGTTTGCTGGCAGTACGCAACCCAATTGCGTTCCCTCCTACGTTATCTATTCATCTGGTTCTGACCATCTGGTCTCCTCAGGTGACATACCTGCCATCTCATGTAATAATTGGATTTCTGTTCACGGACAGAATCTGCTAGATGACAACGGTCAGAAACGGATAGAAGTACATGAGAAATGAAGTTGTAATTGTGATTGTATTGTAATCAATAATTTCAAACATACGTCAGTTATACATTATCAACAACTAATAGCGCTCATAGGGTCTATGTCCCCCAGGGTACTGCCGGAACGTACCCTGGGTACGGTCCGGTATACCGGAACGTACCCTGGTCACTATTTGATATGGTTAGGGTTAGGGTTAGGGTTAGGGTTAGGGTTAGGGTTAGGGTTAGGGTTAGGGTTAGGGTTAGGGTTAAGGTTAGGGTTAGGGAGTAGGCGTAGGCGACTCCCCAGACTCGTTAGTGGAGTAGGCGAGGTACTGTCCGGCATATTAGATAGTTACCAGGGTACGTTCCGGTATACCGGACCAAACCAAGGGTACGTTTCGGGAGTACCCCGGGGGACATAGACCCTCTCAGCACTAATAGCTGCACGTATGTATGGGTGCGAGGCTTGCTTGTGTGTGCGTGCGTGCGTGTGTTCGTGTGTATGCGCGCGCGCGTGTGTGTGTGCGTGTGCGTGCGTGCGTGCGTGCGTGCGTGAGTGTGTGTGTATGGTAAAGCCAGTATGTGTGTGTACGTGCGTGCAGGCGTCTGTGTGGTGTGGAGTCTTTCATATGTATTTGCTCTTAAGTTCATGTAAAAATTAGGTAAACATTTTCGGCGCATGTATATAAATACGTATACCCACCATGATGTTCCCTGCTCGGCAGACTCACTAATGTCTTCTCATATAGCTTTTATATGACATCCCGTTAGCTGCATTCGTGTTTATTATTACTTGGAGGTAATAATATAAAGACGTATATATATATATATATATAGAAAGAGAGAGAGAGAAAGAGAGAGAGAGAGAGAGAGAGAAAAAAAGAAAGATATATATATATATATATATATATATATATATATATAGATATAGACAGGTCTACATAGGTGTATTTATATAATATATGTAATTATCAACATGTTAGCTATGAAATATTCTTTTGTGTTCAATAATCGGCGCTGTCTACGGAAGGGGAATACTGCTAACGGTGTTGCTATGAATGACACGTTACGCTATGACGCGTTAAGGTACAGTCCGCTTGTATTGATTAGGGTTGGCTCATTAACAGAACTATTTACAAAGAAGAAATTTCCCATCAAGAGCCCAAAACTGAAGGATCGTGTGCTGAGGCTACGATTCGTATTAAATCGAGGAACGTCGTTTCTTGGTTCGCTTATATTCTCATATTGAATTGTGATTGTATCATGATTGATTGCGAATTATTACGAAGCAGATGATGATGACCAACATGCACAGATGTCGCGTGTTTGGCGGGAAAAGCACGTAGTGCGCGAACGCAGTCTTATAGCTATGAGAACAAAATACGGCCTTGCACTGACCGCTACACACACACTTAATCACAGAAATACATCAAGGGCTTACCCGCCGTGTAAGTATTTCGGCAATTTCTGCCCACCCGAGTCCATGCCCTCACACACTCCCTACTCTATGTTGCGCCCATGCCCTCACACACTCCCCACTCTATGTCCCGCCCCAGCCCTCACACACTCCCCACTCCATGTCCCGTCCAGGCCCTCACACACTCCCCACTCCATGTCCCGTCCAGGCCCTCACACACTCCCCACTCCATGTCCCGTCCAGGCCCTCACACACACAGGCACTTGGGACAGTGTCGCATTACAAAAGATATATATAGAAGCTTCTATATATAATATAATATGATATATATATATATATGATATATATATATCATTATTATAATGGCGACACAGCACACTCGCAGCGGCGAGTGCGGGTGCGGCTATAGCGGATACTAGTTCTGCATTAGTTTTTGTGAAAGCAAGTTTATATACAGTGACACAAGAGTGGAAGTGTAATTGAGGGGTAGTATTTGTGAATGTGCGTTCATATTATTTTCAGTTTTTACTGACTGTCCCAAGTGCCTGTGCTCACACACTCCCGACTCCATGTCCCGCCCATGCCCTCACACACTTAGTAAAATAAGGCGTCTAACAGATGCCAAAAGAAGCAAATGCGACTCATAAAAGTCGAGGTCCATGGACAGCTGAGCAAAGGTTTTTCGTCACGTGCTGATGAAAACCATATCTACGGCTGTGATTGGCTATTCGTGAAGTGTCACGCGACTGTGTGCGTCTGTGTCTACGCGTGACTGTGTGCGCGCGAAAATAGAAATGATTCTAAATATATTTCCCGTTGTGGTTGTTGCCGGATGCTATTGTGTACGTGTGCAACAAACAGATGATCGGAAACAATAATTATAGTTTCTAATATCCCTGTTGTATTTCTAGAAGTAACGTCGTAAGAGCTGACGTATAATATATAAACTCAACAAAGGATTTATTCCAGCCACACTCCAGCCTGCCACGTAGTAGAGTGACCACGCAAGAACATGGCTTTAGGAAATAATATAGCGCCACCTTTTGGGCCTAATATGGGCGAATGATACAATAATGTCACACCTTCCCACCAGCCTCGAGCCCACCGAGAGGCGGAAGGTTGTGTAGACTATAGATAAGCCTTGGTCCGCCGCTTCGGCTGTCGACTGGAACGTCTCGGATTATCTGGCCCGTATTCGTCACCTACTGGAAGGCGCGGATTGCGACGCTTCGTTCGGTTCAGTTGGCTTACACGTGACGTCGCTGACTCAGGATTTGGTGTGTCTCCACTGGGGTAACCGTCCTGACCTGTCGGGTAGATAGGCGGAGTTGCGGATAGCCCCGGAACTGATAACTCTGGGGTCTCTCCGGGATCCGTGTCTTTTTCAACTCCATAGCAAGGGCGAAGCTGTTCAATGGGCCTACGCCACACTGGTCCTCGGGGGTACACACGCACGCTGACGCTGCTGGCACCATGTACCTTGGTGATAACCGCTGGGACCAATCTTGGGTCTCTGTCTCGCCGCGGGCCGCAGTAAAGTGCATAACATGGAGCACCTAGTGAGTAGGCATGCACTAGTCTAGTAACGATGCGACTTGTCTCACCGTGCTGTGATTTGGTTGCCTCTTTAGCCTGTTTTCCCTGTGCCCAATGCGCAGGAGAAGGCAATAGAGAATCGATCTGGCACCTGATCTGTCGGCCATTGAGTAGCTCACTTGGCGAAAACCCTTCCGCTAAAGGTGTACGTCGGTACTGCATCAGGAATTGCTGCAGGGCAACTTTTGGTGCCAGCGTCGACTTCCTGAGTCCTTGCTTGAAAGTCTGGACCAGGCGTTCTGCAGCTCCATTCGTGGCTGGGTGATAAGGGGCTCCTGTCAAGTGAGTGATGCCTCGTTCACGACACTAAGCCTGGAACTCCTCCGACATGAACGTAGTGGCATTGTCGGTCACAATCGTGTGTGGATATCCGAAGTGAGCGAAGTCTTGTTCCAGTAGGTCAATGGTTGCCTTCGTCGATGTAGAGTTTGTCGCGTGTATACAGGGGTATTTGGAGTAGGCATCGATCAGGACCAGCCAGTTGCTTCCTAGGAAATTTATGGCATGGTCCAGGTGTATTCTACTCCAGGGTTTCTCTGGAAGGGTTTATTCTGGTGTTCTGCGCAGCAGTGCAGTTGTGACACAGCTCTGCAATGTCAGTGTCGATCCTAGGCCAATATACCGCTGTGCGTGCGAGCTGCTTCATCCGCTGTATCCCGAAGTGTCCCAAATGCTGCAATTGAAGCACTTGCTGATGCAGACTTTCAGGGATGACTACTCTGGAACCATATAGCAAACACCCATGGGCTGTCGACAGTGAATCCGCCAGCTTCCTGAAGTCTCTGACTGAATAGCACTCATTGCTCTCCACATTCGATCGTGAATCCTCGGGTGGCCATCCCTCACGGGTATGATGCATCATCGTTGCAATCACAGGATCTTTGCCTGATTGCTTTCCCACGACACCAGGGTCCGTTGGCTGTAGCTGTAGGCTCACCGTTTTAATAGTGCAGACAGTGCCAACATCTGCCTCACTTTCCTCCCCATCAAAGATGACGTCAGGTCCCACTGGCAGGCGACTGAGTACATCGGCGTTCCCGTGGTCCGACGTCTTTCTATATTTTATTGAGTAGTCGTACTGGCTAAGCATCAAAGCCCAGCAAGCCAAACGATTGGCCGCCAGCATTGGCGTCTCTTTGGTTGGCCCAAACAGCGCTAGCAACGGCTTATGGTCTGTAACCAAAACAAAATTTCGACCGTATAGAAACTGGTGAAATTTCTTTAGCGCAAAAATGACAGCTAGTGCTTCCTTCTGAACTTGGCTATAGCGGCGCTGTGTATCTGTCAGTGTCTTGGATACGTTAGCGATCGGGAGCTCACTCCCGTCACGATAGCGGTGAAACAACACTGCTCCAATGCCAACTTCTGATGCATCGCATGACACCCCAATCGGCAGGGATGGGTCAAAATGCGCCAGCATTGAATTCGTGCAAAGCACCTGTTTCAGCTGCTGAAAAGTCGCTTGCTCACTACTGCCCCAGTTCCATGGTATGTCCTTCTTGGTCAGTCGATAGAGAGGCTCGGTGAGAGTGGCTAAGTTGGGGAGAAACTTGCCATAGAACTGCACAGACCCCAAGAATGAACGCAGGCCAAAAACGTTTTCCGGTGGCAGCATCTTGATAACCGCATTGACCTTAGCCCCCTTCTCAATCCCCTTTTGGGAAAGCTTGTGGCCCAAGTACTTAACTGCGGGTTGAGCGAATGAGCACTTCTCCATGCGACATCGTAGCCTTTTGTCTTCTAAGCATTGAAGCAATTCGCGTAGATTTTGGAGATGCTCTTGAGCATTGGCACCGCTGACGAGAAAGTCGTCTAGGTAGACTGCCACTCCCTGTAGATCACTGGTGAGCTGTTCCATGATATCTTGGAAATAACCTGGTGCCAAACTGATGCTGAACGGCGGCCGAAGTCGGAGCAGTACGCCTCGGTGTGTACTGAGGGCTAGCCTTTTCTGGCTTTCAGAAGCGAGCTTTATCTGGTTGTAAACATCCACCAGGTCGAGTTTAGTGAAACCGTGTCCTCCGCCTAGTTTCCTCATGAGATCCTCGGGGAGAGGCATAGGGTGTCGGTGGGTATCTAATTGCGGGTTTACCATAACAGAGTAGTCCCCACAGACTCGTAGCTTCGGTTTCTGCTCGCCAGGTGGCCCCACCTTCCTGATCAGAACGACGGGTGTGCCACTATCATTGAATTGTGCGGGCTTCCACACACCCCTCCTGATGCCGGCATCATATGCTTGTGTGAGATCCTCTTGAATTGCGTACGGGACTGGCCGCGGCCTGCAGAATATGGGCCTCGAATCCCGCTTGAACTTGACCTCTAATTCAAAGTCCTTCAAGCATCCGAGCTCCCGTTTGAATACCTCCGGATGCTCATCACAAACCTGCTGGCAGGCTGTCTGTAACGACCGATCTGGATGCAGATTGTTCGATATGGTATGCACGGTACCATCGGTTGAAGAGTGGCGATGAAAAAAAACATTAATGTCTATTCCCATTTCATGTATGGCGCTACGACCTAACAGGTTGAGCGCTGGGAACTTCGTCACCGTGAACTCTATGTTCCGTGCTTCCTTGGTGGTCCAGCTTGGCATTTGCTGTAAACGTGCCCATGACTGTCAGCTGATTTCCTGTAGCTTCCTTGTATTGGCTTGTTGGCTGCTGTAGGCATGGCTTCCCCAGCTTTACCCAGACGTCCCCC